TGGCCTAGTATACCAGATCTAAAACTGTATTATAAATCAACAATCACCAAAACTACTTGGTACTGGTTAAGAAATAAAATAGTGAATCAGTTGAATAGGTTAGGTACACAAGATACGGTAGTAAATGACTATAGTAATCTACTGTTTGATAAACCCAAAGACTCCAGCTTCTTGGATAAGACCTTGCTATTTGACAAAAAACTGCTGGGAAAATTGAAAAATAGTATGGCAGAAACTGGACACTGACTAATATTGCACACCGTATACCAAGATAAGGTCAAAATGGGCACGTGATTTAGACAGAAAGGGTGATACCTTCAGCAAATTCTGAGAGCAAGGAATAGTTTGTCTGCCAGATCTATGAAGAAGGGAAGAATTTATGAACAAAAAGAGATAGAGAACATGATGAAATGCAAAACGGATAATTTTGATTGCATTAAATTAAAAAGTTTTTGCACAAACAGAACCAATGCAACCAAGATCAGAAGGAAAGCAGAAATATGGGAAATAATTTTTACAGCCAGAATTTCTGATAAAGACCTTATTTCTCAAACAAGCAGAGAATTGATTCAAATTTATGAGAATACAAATCATTCTTCAATTGATAAATGGTCAATGGATATATACAGGCAGTTTTCAGAAGAAGAAATTAAAGCTATCTGTAGTCATATGAAAAAATGCTCTAAATTACTACTGATTAGAGAAATGCAAATTAAAACAAATCTGAGGTACCACCACACACTTGTCAAATTGGCTAGTATGACAGAGAAGAAAAACGATGAATGTTGGAGCTGATGTAGGAAAATTGGAACACTGATGCATTGTTGGTGGAGTTGTGAACTGATCCAACCATTCTGGAGGGCAATTTGGAACTATGCCCACAGGACTATACAACTGTGCATACCCTTTGATCCAGTAACGCCACTGCTAGGTCTGCAACCCAAAAAGATCATAAAAAAGCAAAAATGACCCACGTGTACAAAAATATGTATCATAGCTCTTTTTGTGATGGCAAAGAACTAGAAAGTGAAGGAATGTCTATCAATTGGGGAATGGCTGAACAGATTGTAGTATATAAATGTAATGGAACACTATTGTGCTATAAAAAATGATGAGTAGGTAGATTTCGAAAAACCTAGAAAAACTCTCATGAGCTGAAGCTGAGTGAAGTGAGCAGAACCAGGAAAACATTGTACACAGTAACAGCAACATTATGTAATGATTAATTACAATAAACTCAGCAATCTTCAATGATACAATGATCTAAGACAATTCCAAAAGACTGGTGATGAAAACTGAGTGAATCTTATCCTCATAGGTTTTGGCTTAAGGAGGGAATAAAATACACAATGGGGTATGCAAATCCATCTTACCCTACAGGAAAATAAGGGGGGAAGGAGACAAGAGAGCAGGGGATTGATAGAGGGAAAGGCAGACTTGGAGAGGGAAAATCAAAAGCAAACACTTCTGAGGAGACACAGGGTCAAAGGAGAGAATGGAATAAATGGGGGGTACAATAGGAGGAAGGAAAATACACTTAGTTTTTCACAGCAGAACTACTATGGAAGTGTTTTGCATGACTACATATATATAAAACCTGTATCAAGGTGCTTGCCTTTTCAATGAGGGTGAGTGGGGAGGGAAGAAGGGAGAAAATTTGTAACGTAAAGTTTTAAAAATGCATGTTAAAAATAAAAATAGGTTCCACTTCTGGGAGCCAAGATGGTGGAGTAAAAAGATAGCCACTCTCACCCTCCCCTATCAACCTCTGAAAACCCAGAAAATATCACCCCAGAAAAAAAAAAGCCCTGGAACAACTGAACTAGAAGAAAAATGGGGAGCAGCAGTACAGCAGCCCAGCAAACAGGTCTCCCAGTGCCTCAGCAAAAATAAGCGAAGCAGCACTACAAAGGGCCCCAGGTGGATAAGCACCCTGCAGCATTCATCTGAAAGGAGCTGAAGAAAGCAACCTAAAGTCTTCATAAAGCCCCAGCCTTGCTGATTCCAACCCAACACCAGGTAAGGTGTCACAACCCTAGGAAGAGATCCTGAAGCCCAGGTGGTAGAGCAGTCCAACACCTGGACCTCCTAGTGCCTCAGTGAGGGGGGTGGGGGGAACTGGTGGAAACCAGCTCAGAAAACCACCAGGTGCCTTGGCACTCTACCACAAAGGAATCTCCCAGTGCATTAGCAGAACTGAGGGAGGCAGCATTGCAAGGGCCCCAGGCAGATAAACACCCTGCAGCAACCATATGAACAGAGCTGAAGAAAGCTAAAGGAAAGGAAAAGCAGGCAACCTAGAATTGCCTGAAAGTTCCAGCCTTGCTGATTCCTGCCCAACATGAGGTAAGCTGCCAAAATCCTACAGCCTCCAATTGCCAACATAGGAGGCCCCAGCACATAAAGCCAGTGACCAAGACCTAGGCTCCCAACACAAGAAGCTTGGGCCACTGCCCTCTGATTCCCAGCAGGAGAGCTCAATCTCTTTAAAGGCCAGGGAATAAGGAAACACCATGAGTAAAAAGAAACGTACCATAGATTCATATTATGAGAAGAGTGAAGATCAAGACAGAAATTCTGAAGAGGACAGCACTGTCAACCAACCCACATCTGCAACATCAAAAGGGAATATGAACTGGTCTGAAGCCCAAAAAGCCTTCTTAGAAGAGCTCAAGAAGGATTTTAAAAGTCTAATGAGAGAGGTAAAAGGGTCCTTTAAAAATACAATTGGCCAATTGGAAAAAAAGTACATTGAAGAAAACAAGTCCCTAAAAAACACAATTGGCAAACTGGAAAAAAAGTCCACTGAAGAAAACAAATCCCTTAAAAATACAATTGGCCAATTGGAGAAAGAAGTACAAAACTCAGCAGAAGAAAACAATCTGTTAAAAACTAGAATTGGACAAATGGAAACTAATGACTCTATGAGAGAGCAAGAATCAGTTAAACAGAAACAAAAAAGTGAAAAAATGAAGGAAAACACAAAATACTTCATTGGTAAAACAACCAACCTGGAAAATCAATCAAGGAAAGACAATTTAAAAATCATTGGACTACCTGAAAATCATGATGAAAAAAAAAGCCTGGACAGTGTCTTTCAGGAAATCATAAAGGAAAACTGCCTGGAAGTCCTAGAACCAGAGGGTAAGGTAACCATAGAAAGAATACACTGCTCACCACCTGAAAGAGATCCCAAATTGACAAAGCCAAGGAACACAATAGCAAAATTCCAAAATTACCAGATGAAAGAGAAGGTGCTGCAAGCAGCCAGAAAGAAGCAATTTAAATATCATGGAACCACAGTCAGGATTACACAAGACCTTGCAGCTTCTACATTAAAAGACCACAGGGAGCAGAACATGATATTCCATAAGGCAAAGGAGTTTGGATTGCAGCCAAGGATCAACTACCCTGCAAAAATGAGCATGATTTTTCAAGAGAGGAGATGGATATTCAAAGAAATAGGGGGCTTCCAAACCTTCCTCATAAAAAGACCAGAGCTCAACAAAAAATTTGATCTTCAAGTACGAGATTTAAGAAAGACATAAAAAGTTATTGAGTCACAGTATGAGATTGACTTTGAATGACACTAGTGTGTCCTTGTGACATCAGAAGACTGTGATGCTGTGTGGTAAGAACAAACATTCTATCTTCAGTTTATGAAAGACATATATCTCAATATCCCTTTGGGCATGAGGAACACAACTAAACACAAGTAAAATGGCTGGTAGATAGAAGATATATTAAGAGTCTTCATTCTTTTTCTAGTGCCTCACTTCTTTTCCCTTTCTTCAAAAAAAATACTTCATTTATTTCTTTTGAGGAAGAAAAGAAATTCATTCAAAAAACCCCTTAAATCGCTAGAAAGTAGAGTGGAAGTATAACACTTAAATTAGACAACTCAGAGATAATGCTGTTCAGAGCTCACCTCCAATTTTCCTTTGATTTGTGTCTTTTCCTTTTTGCATAGGTAGTTGAGTAGAATGTGGAATGGACTCCCTCATAAGTCAGTTTAACTTAGTACTCTATGATTAGTTCCACATGATTAGGGTAAAGTGTTGCCATCCATTAAACATCCTTGCACAGTTGCAGATCCTATCTGCCTGTAATCATAACCATACATTATGAGATTGATGGGAAACTGAAATTACTTTTTTAAAGTCTCATTATTTAGGGCCAAGATAAAAGTTTCCAGCCAGTCATATTTTCCTTGAAATCATTCTGAGGATATGGAGTAAATCTGCCCACTAAAATGCTTAAAGTTTGGAGGAGAAAACATTGGCTTGCCTGTCAAAAGCATAAAAACAACCCCTGCCACCTGTACTACATAATCTTTTTTTTTATGAAAGAATGCACCACAAACATTAGCATTTATTCATTTTCTTTTTTTTTTTTTAGCAAATGACAAAGACCCAGTTTACCAGATTTACTTTTTTTTTTTGCCTAGGCTTAACATTACATATTTAAACAATTGTCAAAACTTACTGAGTTTTACAGCATTCATGCACAACTAGAAAACATCCTTAATTTATTTGAAACCAGAAATGTATTACCATTAACCTGTTAATAGCTTTCACTACTAAATACTTTAAAAAACTTGAAATAAAAAAAAGATTCATCCTGGAAATGTTAACATCACAGCAGACTTAAACTACTACTTGGCTCACATTTCAAGCAAAATGGAAAAGCAAGATTCATGCTGGTGTTAGTGTACATTTTGCCCTAGCACTACTAAAGGATCACTGCTCACCTTGGATTAATTTTAATAAAAAGCAAAGTGCATACAGAAATTTACAACTATTTTAAAGACAAAAAAAATGGTCCTATTAATGAGTTCCCAACAATAAACTCAAAGTCTATGACAAATTGGTGCTTTGATGAGCCGTTTATGAATACTTTAGATTAGGTACAATTATGCTGAAAGAGTTCTTTTGAAATCTTCAAAAAAATGCTCCTGTTAATCCTCAAATGGTGCTTGTAATAGCTTAATATTTCTGTTAAATGCATGCATTGAATTACTTGTTATCCAAGTGTAGCAGCTGCTCCTTACCATTTATTGTTAAGGACTTTAACTGGCCATCTTCTTCAACTTCTACTCTTTCTTGACCATTCTCAACAATTCTCTTTGTAGTGATTTTCCTGCCATTTACTATTTTAGTTGTAGTTGATATGGATCTGAAGTTACCCATCCCACTACCACCAAATGAGGTAGAAGAGAGCGAAGTAAGGCCTCCATGCCCCACTGAACCAAATGAAGTAAATCCTGTATCAAATGAAGAAAGTCCATTTCCAAAACCTGGAAATCTACCAAAGGCAGAAAAAAAGGGTCCTGCACCTCTGCTTCTGTTTCCACGAGTCCCTCTTTGATTTCCAAAAAAGTCCTCAAATGGATCTTCAAAGAAGTCAAATGAAAATGGGTCCCTTCCACCAAAAAATTCCCTGAAGACATCATCTGGGTTCCAGAATGTGAATCCATATTCAAATGGATATCAAAATGACTTCCACCTCCTCCACCTCCACCATTTAACCCTTCTTTTCCATATTTGTCATAGATGTTCCGTTTTTTGGCATGTGATAACACCTCATATGCCTCAGCTACTTGTTTGAATCTCCTTTCTGCTTCCTCTTTATTTTCAGGATTTTTATCCAGGTGCCACTTAAGTGCCAATTTACAATATGCCTTTTTAATATACTCTGCTGAGGCATGTCTCTGCACACCCAGAATTTCATAGTAATCCACCATGTTTTAAGAGTTTGTTGGAACAAGTCTTTTACAGCCTTATTACTGCTCCCCTGAACCACCTGCAGTGATTTCCCAAGGGGGTTGGCAGCTGGTGGTGGGGGGGCTGGGCAGCTAGGGCCACGGTCTCCTCTTGGCTCTGGTGCTGCTGTTGGTGGTGGTGGCGGCGGCCGACATAACTTGTTTGAAGCTTCACCAGACTTCTAATGTCTTTCTTAATCTCCATCTTGATATAATGATATAATGTCTGATGCCAATCATTCAATCAACAAATGTGTATTCAGCACCTGCTTTGTGCCAAATACTATGCTAGGAGTTTGGGATACAAATAAAAAAGTGAGACACTCTTCTGTTTGGTACAAATAGAGAAGTGAGATAAATCAGAGCATTTAGATCTACTACACTGATGTAACAAATATAAATAAATGCAGGATATAACACACTGTATATTATATTTTTCTATCTATCTATCCATCTGTTTGTCTATATCTATCTATGATCTTTCTCTCCATATATCTATTTATATATACACAGATATAATTTCTATAGGTACAAATTACATATTTTTATGTGTGTGTGTGTGTGTGTGTGTGTGTGTGTGTATGTGTGTGTGTGTGTGTGTGTATAGCTAGATTGCTAGTTAGATATCAACAGGAATGTGCTGGACCCAGCTCATATCTTCTTTTAAGAGCCGTTGTTTGATTTTCTGTGTGAGCACTAAAAATTTGAAAAAAATCCTCAAATAAAAAAATTTTAAAATAAAATAAAATAAAAGACACAGCAAAAGATTGAGCCAAGGACAGGTAATGGGAAAGAATGGGGTCAGGAGTGTTAAAGGTCAGGATAGACTGAGACCAAGAAATGCTAAAGACAAAATATAGGACCTTTTAAAGCTATGTTGAGAGTGAGAGGAAGATCCAAAAAGGAAGAGGACGGCTACTTGGGATGGGTAGGGAAATCAATCAACAAGCATTTACTAAACACCTACTGTGTGCTAGTCACTGTGCTAGGTGCTAGGGATGCAAAGACCAAAATGAAATGGTCCTTGCCCTCAAGGAACTTCTGATCATTGTGGATAATAAAAGGAAGGCAAAACTAAAAAAACAAAAAACAAATCCAAAAAAATTTGTCATATTTTAGCATGCAAGTGCTTCTGCCGCCCCTATTAAGATACAGCATTAATGTTCATTTTATTTTTGAGTAAATTCAAGAATCATCCCTTTGTCAGGCAGAAATTTTTGTTTGAAACATTATACTTGAAATTTTGTTGGAATGATTGTGACATTCATGTTTTCAGCGGCAATGACTGGAGAAGAATTCAACCATTATGAAATATTTTAAATGTCGTGGTGGGTGTGTCTCCTTTGCAAACTAATAATTGGCTTCAGTTCTGTGTATTTTTTTAATTGATATTTGGAGAATGATGTGGTATCTGTTCATATCGTATTTATATACCTTACTTGATAAGACAATAGAATTTGAGTAAAGACATTACGATTTATGCTGCTGATCATAATTGCCATTTATGTCCAATTAATTGGAATATTCCAACTTCACAAGGGTTGTTGGCAAAATTGAGCTGGAAGGAATATTTCTATTCTTTAGTGTAGTCATTATTAGAACATTTTGTAAATTCATATCCCATAAACTGCTTGTGAGGGTTACAGTTGGAAGAGCGCTTTCTTGTTTTGAAATGCAGAGGCTTTAAGTAATATTTCATTTCTTCTGGTATAGAATAGTTTAACATAATATTTTAAACAAGCAAAGAAAAGAAATTTAAAATTTTATTTTTAATTAAACAGCTCTCTCATCTCTCTCCCCTCCCCTCCTTGGCTGAAAAATAAAACAAAACAAAAACTCTTGTAACAAATCTGCTTACTCAAGAAAAACAAATTCATTGTCCAATTCTGTGTCATGAGTTCTTTACCTTTCTGTCTGGAAGTATATGGAATGCTTCATCATTGGTCCTCTGGAATCATGGTTAGAGTTTTTAAGGCTTTGAAAGTTATTTATCTTTACAATATTGTTGTTTTAGTATAAATTGTTGTGGTTCTGCTCACTTCACTCAGCATCAGCTATTACAAAGCTTTCCAAATTTCTCTGAAAAAAAAAAAAGCAAAGGAGCACAGTAGCCTAGTGTTTAAAGATCTAAAGATCCCAGATATTGGGGCCAGAACTCACTTTCAACAAAAACTTTTGGGAAAATTGGAAAGCATGCTGGAAAAAGCCAAGTATAGACCAACATTTCACACCATATACCAAGATATGTCCCAAATGGGTATATGATTTAGCTATAAAGGATACCATCATAAACAAAGCAGAAGAGTATGGAAGAAATTACATCTTAGATCTATAGATAGGAGAAGAGTTCATGATCAAAAGAGATAGAGTGGTTTACAGGAGATAAGACAGACAATTTTTATTACATAAAATTTTAAAGTTTGTGTACAAGCAAAACTAACTCAGTTGAAACTAAAAGAGAAGCAGAAAATTGAGGGGGAAATCTTTGCAGTAAGTTTATTCAACAAAGGTCTCATTTCTAAGATATATAGTTCACTGATTCAGATTTCTAAGAAAAAGAACCATTCCCCAATTGCTAAATGATCAAAGAATATGACAGTTTTTAGACAAAGTAATCTAAGCTATCAATACCCATATAAAAAATGCTCTAAATCACTAATAATTAGAGAAATTCAAATTGAAACAACTCTGGAGTATTACCTCACACTCATCAAATTGACAAAATTGATAAAAATTGGAAATTACAAATTCTAGAGGGGAGCTTGGGAAAACAGGTACATTAATGCACTGTGGAACTGTGAACTAGTCCAGCCATTCTCAAAAGCAGTTTGGAACAATGTCAAAAAAAACCTATTAATCTGTGCGTGTTCTTTGACTCAATGATACTGCTACTAAGTTTCTAAGCCAAAGTGATCAAAGAAAGAGCAAAAGGACTTATATGTGCAAAAATATTCATAACAGTTCATTTTGTGGTGACAGAAAGCTGGAAACTGAGGGGAATGGGAATCTATCAGTTGTGAAATGTTTAAACAAGTTATGGTATATGAATGGAATATTATTGCGCTATAAGAAATGATGAAAGAGATGGTTTCAGAGAAACCGGCAAGGCTTGTATAAATTGATGCAAAGTAAAATGAGCAGAATGAGAACAATTTATACAATAATAATGATGTCATAGAGGCAAATAACTTTGAAAAACTTAGCAACTCTAATCAACAAAATAACCAACTATAACTCCGGAGAACTCATAATGAAACATGCTACCAACTTCAGATAGAGAAGTGATGGACTCAGAGTGCATACTGAGGCATTTTTTTTCTTTGAGAATGACAATGCAGAAATTTGTTTTGTTTGACTATACATATTCAAATGAGTTTTCTTTTTCTTGCTTTTTCATTGTGGGGCTGGGGATGTGGGAAAAAGTGAATGCAGATTAGAAAAGAAAAAAATTTTTTTTAAAGTTTTAAAGAAAAGAAAAGACGTAAGAAGTCATTATGTAAAAAAGAAATGTTGTTGAGAAAGAAATGACATGATGTGGCAATTGACTGACTATGTGGGGGTGAGTTAGAGGAAATTTATGAGGAAAGCATAGAGATTTTGAACCTGGGTGACTAGAGTAATGATTGTATTCTCAGCCGAAAAAGAAGCTTTAGAGGAGAGGCGTTTTTTTTGGGAAATATATTGAATTTTATTTTGGACATGTTGAATTTAAGATGGCTATGGGACATCCAGTTTGAGATGTCCAATGTACAGTTGGTGATGTGAATTGGGAGTTCAGGAGAAAGAATAAGGCTGGACAGATAGATCTGGGATTCTTTTTCATAGAGATGATAATTAAACCCATAGTAGCTGATAAAGTCACCAAGTAAGAGGGTTTAGAGGTACGCCCACTGTTAAGGAGAAGGATAAAGATTTTGAGCCAGCAAGATGGCTAGAAGAGGTGGAAGAAATGGTCATACAAGTAGGAGGAAAACCAAAAGAAATTAGCCAATAGTGTCTCTTGAGAGGAGAGGGTGTATGGGAGGAGGGAATAACCAATGCTGCCAGATGCTGGAGAGGAGTCAAAAGGATGAGGATTGAGACTAGACCACAGACTCCAAGGCTTCACAGGTGTTTCCCCTCTTAGAATGCAAGCTCCTTGAAGGCAAGGACTGTCTTTCTTTTTGTTTGTATTTATATTCCCAGTGGCTAACACAGTACCTGGGACACGTTGTTGTTGTTGTTGTTGTTACTGCTCATTCATGTCCAGCTCTTTGTGACCCTATGTGGGGTTTTCATGGCAAAGATACTGGAGTGGTTTGCCATTTCCTTCTCCAGTGGATTAAGGCAAACAGAGGTTAAATGACTTGCCCAGGATCACACAGCTAGTGAGTGTCTGAGGCTGGATTTGAATTGGGGGCTTCCTGACTCCAGGCCTGGCGCTCTAACCTCCAGCCGCCTACTTGTCTCCAGCCTGGGACATAGTAAGTGCTTAATAAATGCTTTTTATCTACCTATCTACTTACACGAACCCTATAGACCCATGAACTGAACCAGCTAATTTTTGTCCCCAAATTTGACTTGTATGAAATTTGAGTGGAGCCTCTCATCAGTGTTTTGGTTTTTTTTTAAGGTAAGTGTGCCAGACACTGTCTTTCTCTCTCTCTTTTTTAAAGATAATGAGAGATGCAGAAAGCACCTCCTTTCCTTCTCTGAATAGTCTACTTGGCCTGTGTTGCATGGCCCATGCTGAGGGAAAGCCTTATTTCCCTCTTCTCTGTCAGCTTTGGTGGTGGATATCCCTTTGTCAACACCACATTTCCCAATATCTGTGGTAAAGGACACAGTACATTTTCCAGGAACTTTATTTATCTTGTGTCATTGAAGAATTTACCCTTGAGTCTACAGAGCAAACCAATCTCTTTCAGAGAGAAGTAACACAACAGAGGAAGGTTCCAAATATATTGTCAATCACATAGCCTTGATGGAAGCAACCATTGATG